CAAGCGAAGGGTGCGCTTCGCGTGTACCTTGGGGCTTGCGTGATAAGTAAACAGCACGAGGGTCACTTTTGCAATCAATGAACACGAGTTTGCTGCAAAAAAAAAAACTTATCGGGTGTCTGGAAACTTAGCATAGAACTTACATGGTAATGCATGACGCGGATTACGCGTTGACTCTCGTCCATTTGAGTCCACATCATACAGCCGCCGCCTCAAGGCTGTAAGCGCAATTAAATCCACCCGCGACTTGTTTCTAGAATATGTTTTTGAATTCAGGGTATTTCCCTATATGTGCATTAGAGGTAGAGGTGTTCATCACTATCCTTAGTAAAGGTCGTAGCGCTCTTCAGGTCTTACTCCCCTGCCAATATTACGGAAGAATTCACACTATGGATAGTGATAAAGTGTTCTTAATAGTAGTTAACTCGACTGCCGTCTGCATCAGATTCATGCTCATCGTCTCCGTAGTGCCCATTCTAATCCAGCGCAAAATTTTGCCGCTAATGAGACCTATTCAGAATTGGTAAAAGGGATTGTAGGATGATAGTTATGCTCTACGATCTCATTAACTTTTTTGGGTGTAGCATAGTGAAGAGCTAATACCTCTTTCAATTTTTTCGTCCAGCTGAATGACTAGTTCAAGGACGTCCCCAGAGCGAATGAGTGTGCTGTTGTTGCAGCGGTCGATCCGAACATCGAATCGACAGCCTTCAAACGGCTGCACATTAACTACTATGAAGAGGAAGCATTGCACTCAAGATGTATTTTACGACTTGGGTAAATAAGTAAGTACACACGTGAGCGTGAGTGCACTGTTTCCTCCGTAATTGTGTGATCGTCGTCTGTAGTGGTAATTGTTCTCACTTCGACGCAAATGGTTGCTTTATCGCCTGGCTTCCCTTCTGTTGTTAGCTGGAGTACTGTCTTTCGGGGTACACTCTCCGCCAACACTTTTTGCTTTGTCGATCCAATGGCGTTCATTGTTGTTGTGCTTGGAAAGTCAATTATCAAGCCAAAATCAAAAAGTATTGAAGTAATAAGATTCTATATCAAGTTAGAAACTCGCGAAAGGAGATGATCGATGGAGAAGCGACTTGATAACAGATAAATAGGACCTCACGTAAGCCTTTTTTGTTTCATCGTTTTTGTCCTAGATAAAAAATGTCTCTCGACAGCCTTTATATTCACAAAAAGAACATGTCTCCGAATGTGTAGCACCCTGCTATCTTCACCAAATCTGTAATATTTTTTTCATTTAATCATCATGAATTTCAAAATCCACCCACGTACTTGTTTGCAACTGTGCACTTTCTGTTCATCATTTTTTCAAAATTACAACGAGTTGGCAGTTCATTGAAATATAAGTTCATTAATGGAAACAAGGACAAACTTTAAGAATAGTTCATGTACAACTAAGAAAATCTCTATCACTGAGATATTGATCACGAAATCAACTGTCTTTCGGGGTACACTCTCCACCAACACTTTTTGCTTTGTCGATCCAAAGGCGTTCATTGTTGTTGTGCTTGGAAAGTCAATTATCAAGCCAAAATCAAAAAGTATTGAAATAATAAGACTCAATATCAAGTTAGAAACTCGCGAAAGGAGATGATCGATTGAGAAGCGACTTGATAACAGATAAATAGGACCTCATGTAAGCCTTTTTTGTTTCATCGTTTTTGTCTTAGACAAAAAATGTTTCTCGACAGCCTTTATATTAACAAAAAGAACAAGTTTCCGAATGTGTAGCACACTGCTATCTACACCAAATCTGTTTTATTTTTTTCCTTTAATCATCATGAATTTTCAAATCCACCCGAGTACTTGTTTACAGCTATGCACTTTCTGTGCATCATTGTGTTAAAATTACAACGAGGTGGCAGTTCATTGAAATATAAGTTCATTAATGGAAACAAGGACAAAATCCAAGAATAGTTCATGTACAACTAAGAAAATCTCTATCATTGAGATATAGATCACGGAATCAAAAAAAAAAGATCCAAATGCTACTCATACATTTTTCATGATGATTATCGTCAATTATCGTCAGTATTGAGGTCTTCCAGACCACATTTCACTACCAACAACGCTGCACGCGTCGTCGTTCTCCGTCTCGATCGTTTGATAGTAAATGGGTTAGAGATCGTCAGTGGAGTGCTATGTGCTTTTCTATGACAAGGGGACAGATAGAGGTCGTAGAAAGTGAAATGCTACCTAGAGTATTTTTTTTTTTGTTAGGGTCCTTAATCTTCCCAATCTGCTGCGGTGTGGCATTTAAGTCGACTGTTAGAGTTCAATCCGATGGTAGTTCTTCACGACGTCACTTGTTAAACCATTTGTTTAAAAAGTGCTCACCGGAAGAAATACACTGGTGCATAACCTTTTCCTTTTGCATCTGCCGAACTTTAGCATCAAGAACGTGCCAGTATTCGTCGTTATTGGCATCGGGTTGAATGTTTGTTAGAAGGATAATGACGCAGACTAGCACATGCTTGAACACGAAGTGAGGGCCGTCCTGTTTCGATACAAACCCAGCTACTACGGACTACTTACTAGACCAAAGTACTAAGTTAGTGCGATGAAAATGCAAGTCTCTAGGAATATATATAGAAGTCGATCTTTGGAGCCTTAAGTAATCGCCACAGTCCTTCTCTGCCTGCTCGATGCGCCAGGCGATTGTATCCGACCAAACATTCGGCACTTGATTTTTTGCTTTAATTTCCGCTTCTTGTTTAGCAACCCTTTTGTTCCGAATGGCCACTTTTGCTTCAAGCTCCTTGCGAAATGGGTTATCTTTAGGAACAACTGGCATCTTGTATTCAGTTTCCTTGAGTGCTGCGAGCACACGCTTCGAAAAACATGTTTTGCATGCAAACGCGTGTCCTTGTGCAGTCGTCTTAAGCTTTAGATGGGGGAGATGTTACAGGAGAAGCTAAAATCTTGAGAAAAAAGGTGAATTAAGTATGTGGATTGTAGTAGCGAGCGTTCTTCATAAGGGTATCTCATCTTTGCGAAACGTCGCGTCGAGCACCTCGATGCACAACCTGATAAAAAAGGATAACGGTTGAGTTGCAAGTCCTCTACGGCATTGCGCTCTTGGGAGACCTCACTCTCATACTAATGAAGCTTTAAAGGTATGGATAAAGGAGAAGTTCCTATTTATGTAATGTCGGCGCCTTTCGCCGATTATATGGATTCCATTTTCGGGTAGAAACTCTTCAGCGGGGCCACCTTAATTAGAAGAGTTCAATTCTGTAGAGTCGCACTCTCTTGAAATGCTGGAAAGATAATGCCTGAAAATTGAGTTCAATAGAAGGACAACTTTTCAGGGAAGGTGATAAACAGGTATCCAGCATTTCACAAAGGCTTATAAGCACGCTTTTCCATAAATAAGACCACTGGCTTCTTGAATGTTATCGTCTTGTTTCCCACAAAAGCGGTCTGGTTCATCGACACAGAGATTAGAAGACGTGTGGCTGTGTACAGTAGGAGTGAAAAAAATTGATAGTAACGCGACATGCCTGTGACATTCTTAAAATAAAAGGCTCGCCAGAGGTGAGAGCGAGAAAGGAACGAGTATCGATGCCGCCCTTGCCTCGTTCACTCAATTGAGCTTGCTGCTCCATTCGCCAAAGATTAGAACGATTCCAACTACTTACAGTTTTCAGGTTCATTCTTGATTACCTCTCTTGATGGATAAGAATTGTGAAAACTGCAAGAAGCATCGTTTTCCGTAAACTCGTCGCCAGCGACTCCCTTACAGTTTGTTTCTGTAGCTTTGGTTTTTAGAGAGAATCAGTGCACGAATTCATTGTGAGTCATTTAATGGGATGGAAAAGAGAAGGGGAAGGGTGGGCATATGAATAGTGTGGTCTTAACATCATCGAGTTATTGTTTCCAGAGGACCCAGGCATCAGCTGCTCACGCTCTTCTCCTCCGCTTAAGGAGATCTGCGGATGTATATTAGTTAAGGCAGATGCAGACGCATGCACGCCAAGAATGAGAAGATCATCTAGCGAGGTAGTGCTGAAGTGTGATAACGACCTTTCCTCCTAGTTATGTTTATAACGACGCAAGTACAGTAGGAAGAACGTTCGTTAAAGATGTCCTCGGATGATCAGTGAGTACTGAATGGAATTGGCATAATTATAAGCAGTGTCGTCTTCCCCGTGTTACTTCCTCCGAGCAGGCAAGGGCACTTGAGCGTTTTTGACGGACCGTAAACTTAGAAGGAGACACAACAAGAACAGGGTAAGGGGAAATTATTCAGACACTAAGTAACTTGTTTACTCTACGACTTTGCCATAATACTTGCACTGCTCGCCGAAAGCCTGTAGCAGACGAGGGTAGTTAAAGGCGGGGTTCATTTTGAAAGTTAGAAGACGCCACATATATAGCCTTACTTTGAACGTCGTGACCCCAGGCGTCCAAAGTAAGTGCTATATAGTCAGACTCGTAAGCAGATGGAGTCTACAGACTGGTTCCACGGACAAGTTCCGTCGCACGTTCCCATACTATGCTCTTGGCGGCCTTAGTATTTGCTGACCCATTTTCGTTTCACCCTCGCTGTGCTTGTGCTTTGCACAGCGAGGCCATAGGATAAATAAAAATGGACCATTGTGTTCTTAAATCGATTCCCACAAAGATTTCTTGAGTTCTTCGAGCTTCTCCTCGGTAGCGTCTGCCCACTTTTCTGCTTGCGCGAGGAGCTTCGGGTGACATTAGAGTTGTACGTTTTGAGTAATTTACGGACAACGTCGATGTTATGGGGCTCCCATAATATAAGTACTTTTGGCCATAAATCTTCTGCATATTATTCATCACGAAGATGCGAACTGCAGCTTCAGCATTCTTTGCCCATAGGTTCGTTAGAGCGAGACAATATCACGAGAGACGAATCACTGTCGTCTGCACTCATCGCGATTCCTTGGGAATTCAACGGGCCATAAGATTACCTCCATCTCTTCCGTCATGTTCTTCGACAGGATTGCTTCCGTCTGTTAGAGCTTGTATAGCAAGCAGTCGCAGTCTTACTCTATACATCAAAGGAACTTGAATTATTTAGATTTTTGGTAATAGCCATAAATTACAGTCGAGTCTCCGACTCGGTAGTTGGGCATTAGCCGCATGTTTTCTCGCGCGCGTTCGTGGAATTTCCCTGCCTCCCAAACATAAATTAGAAGACGCATCGATAAATCAAAACTATGGCACTCCCATAGCAGTAAAAGCACATGAATGAGATTTCACCATAACTCTTGGCACGTATCGTACACGTCCTCTATATTGAGGAGTAAAGGGTCTTGATCCAAGTGTTCAGCGTCCTTGTGTCCGGACGCGTAGCAGCAGTGCTGAATGAAAGAAGAAGTAGCTTCTTGACCAAGCGTAGGGTCATGGTGTAATTCATGATTAGGAAATCGCTTAGGAGAAAAAAGGACTAAGAGCGCCGTAGGATCGGCTCTAATGTGTTTCCTTAAATTTTGCTGGAGTTGCAAAATCTCCATGAGGCGCTGTGTGCGTTCCGATGCCATGACGTATCAGCCACGTCTCGCGGACCTCCATGGCCATCCACGCAATGGAATCGTCCCTGTTTAATTCGTATGCTATATGATAATGAGAATCGCCAAATGAGAGGGCAAGGATTGAAACACTCGGAATGGTTGACGTTTGACTAGATTTATAAAGCTATAATATGATAGCGAAAATAACTACACTTGAGAAAATACTTCGTCACATAAGAAATCCGGATCCAAATCTGGTTTCTCCACGTACATAGGTTTGCTGTCGTTGCCTGCTGTAGAATTCAAATCATCGTCTGACCAAGCTGGGTCGTTGTCCCATCGATTATCCACGGTTTTAGCATCGCAGTCGCTCTCCTCGTCGCCAAATACTCTCCCAAACGTCTCGAAGATAGCATTACTGCTTGAAGTTGGCCCTTGCTTACTGAAGGCGTTTGCTTCTGTAAAGCTTGCGCTAGAAGAGGAACTAGTCCCACGAAGAAGGGTCTCACGTTCAAGTTGAGCGCCAGCTGTAGACGCAGATGATGTGCTCCCCATGAACATCCGTCCGTTATGTTGTCCTCGCTGTACTGTACTAGAGCTAGAAGATGACTTCAGATGATCCCTCAGATCATTGGTGTTATTCTGCTGCACGTTAGTAGTAGTTTTTGAAGAGGATGATGTTCCGGCTGGTAGATATTAGAAGAACAACATACTTAGAAGAAGTCGTTTAGTAAATTTGGCGGAATGTTGAATGTGCCATAATTCTTTTCCTTTTGCTCTGACAGTAGGGTGCTGAAATCCTTCTTGCGTCCCGACATTTTCGCCACAATGTCTTTTTATATGACGCTGCTCAAACTACTTCAATAATTTTCATGAGGTCTACACTAGACCTAAAAGACGAAGTAGTTCAGCAGTATCGTAACAGAACAGCAGTAGCATTCGAAATCAGTCGTCTTTTCCTCGTCCTTTGGATGTGGTATGGAGGATGAGCAATTCACCTGCAGTCGCACAGCTTTCTCACTTTCAGAGAAAATGCAATAAAAAGATGAATTACATCAGGCCATACTGGGCGGCTCCATTACCACAATCGCTTTCACCACGACAGCTATGAAAGTGGTTGGTGTACATGTTGAGAGAAGTTTCAATTATCACATAAGTGAGTAAAGCAAAGAAATAGTATAGCCTTAAACGGTTTTGTCCACTGTGTTGCGTGTGCATTAGAGCTTAGCATCTCCGCATCGGTCGCACTATCCTCTACATAAAAGGTTGATCGAGGATGATTGTGAGGATGCTTTGACGATCGCACATAATTGGTGGCGGCGGTGCGTGCTTCAACGTATCCTGCAACTGTCTGAAAGTTAGAAGATACGAAAGTCCAAAGGCTGTCAGTCATGTGGTATCGACAAAGAAACGGACTTGATTGGGCATCGTATGACTCAAGCCTTAACAAGATATCCCCACGACTCTGAGGAAGAAGCTCCTGGTTGTTCACCGTGATCAGACCCCACTTCGATCGATTTGCTCGGCCTTGCAGGTGTTTCGATTTCCAGAATGCGACGTGCTGCTTCTGCTGGCGTTTCCCCAGCTTAGACATCGACTAGAGCAATAGAAATGAGAGTACTTTAATATAGCTGATGCATTGCAAGTGGATTAGTCAGCATAACTCGCGTCGCTCCTTTACCCGTTTTTTTCCCATTTTCAGGCGTGCTTGCTTTCTGCTTTTTTTTTTCCTTCAGGGGCGAGGCTGCTGGCTTTTCTTCCAGTAAACGTTTTCGATTTGCAAGCTTTTGATGCATTAGAGGGGAATAAGCTACAAGGGGAAGTTATTTAAGAAAGTGACGAACCACAAGAGAGAATCTTAAGTCCATTCTTGCCTTCGTCTGGCAAATAGTTCCTGGTCGGTGTCGCCGACCACAATGTTCACAAGGCGGAGCCCGTTCGTCAGCCTCTTCTGGAGCCTTGTTGGAATCGCAGTCCTTGCTGCCATGCGCTGGGGACTGGACTTCTCCTAGGGTATTTCGCTCTTCGAATCCACCTGGGTCAGCGCCTGTTTGAAGCACATCATTAGCCACTTGCTGCACGTGTGAAGTTCCGCCGTCGGTTGGTGCTGGAGTAAAACCAGGCGTCAGCCCCTCATTCTGTGCTGGAGTGAGTCCCATATCCACATCCATTGTTACGCCGCCATCGTTTACCGTCAGACCACCCAGGGCCACATGGCCCGTCTCTACACTAGCTACGCCCATCATCGTATTGCCCTCCGGTCCTGGTGTTTGCCAGGACGAAGCTCCGCCGGGTGTGTTGGCTCCTAGCGTTGCTGCCGTAAGTGCATACGCTTCTTGCTCTTGTTGTAGTTCTGAGGCGAACTTTTTTCGTTGCTCTTTCGCTAGCTCGGCAACTCGCTGCCGGCGTAAGTCCCTTTTTGTTTCAGACATCTCGCCCGAAGCAGGCGGCTGCGCAGACTTCTTCATCTTTCGTTATTGATATTCAATGGTTAGAATTCTACCTTTAATAAGAAGACGACTACTTACTGTAGGGAGAAAGGGGCACAGTAGGTTTCGCAATCAACAGAGAGGAGGGAGACAGCATGTAGGGCTCACCACACAGAGAAAAAACCGAAGAACTCTCTTAGCAACCACCGACCACCTACTACTCACTGCCAACGGACTACCAGACTAGCTTCACCTTAGGATACCTACCGACCAGTCAACTACCTACTCAAGTTAGTCAACTACCTAAACACAACTACTCATGTACCGAGGAGATTAGTGCTACAAAGACGCTTTTCTCTCGTTCAGATTTTGCTCGCTTTGGGAGGACAACGCTGGAAGAGTTTCTTTGCCCACTTTTGTTTTTTCACTTGGCAAGCCTATAAAAGGAACACGGGCACTTCTTAAATGAGTACCAACACACTCACACTGAAGGAGTACTGTAATTTTTTTATAAATTGTCTGTGACTAGAGTTCCACAAAAACACCATCTGAAAAAATTATCATGTTCGTATCCTTCTTGCTAGAATAGTAAACATCAAATTTTTCTTGTAACAGTTGGTGTTCATCCTTTAAGGGGATGGTAGATACGCATACGAGTGCTGTACAAATGTCTTTATGACAATGATACAGGCGCTATGATGTATGAGCATATGCTGCGGGTAGATCTTTTGGATCATTTATCCGCAGAATAAACGTTAAAAGAGCAGCTGCTCTTTATGATGTAGCCTGATCGAACTTCATCGATAGGCTTTCTTCTCGCTGTCTTTCTCCAGTAGTTCCTACTTGTAGGAAGCATTTTTTCTTCTAGCAATTTCAATCATCTTCTTCTTCAGTCCCAACCTCATCTCCTCTGCTTTTAATCTTCAACTTATCCCCACACTTCCAAGTCTCCCCCAAGTAAGCGGTCTCAGTCGTCCTCATTCTGACGCTTGAGGTACCCAGGCTCGTGTTTCGTAGAGAAACTCTCTAGTTCTGGAGAAAATATCTCCTTCAGGAGCGCGAGTAGTTGACGGCAGAGAGCAGAAACCGCATCTGCGAAACTCCTCCTCGTTCGAACAAATTTCTTGATACAAGGCTTATTAGAATGATAGGCAAATGAATGAGTGAATTATAATGAAGGAATACATAATCACACTTTACAGGAAAAAGAATGAGATAAGAGAATCGACCTTGAGTAGTTTGCCGCCAACAAGGGCCGTTACTCATCAAAAAACCCACTCATAACTGACGTTTTTCGTGATGAGATTCCACGCGTCCACCGGGCTGCTAGACTCCGTCTCTCTTCTGACAGCAGCTTTCGTCCTCAAAATACAGTTCTGGTCAAGTGGTTGCACAAACTTCGTGATGTGCGGGTACAAAAAAAATTAGAAGAAGTAGTTAGTAGTTGTGTCCATGTGTACTTTACTAGTTGTAAAGAGCATAGACCAAGTTACCTAGTAGAATTGCCATAATGCATGATCCAAACACCATCGGCTTGTTTGTGCACTCCTTCTGCGTGTAATCCAAGGTCAGAATTGAGGCGATGAATTCCAGCTCCATCCATTCGCATTAGAAGTGACGTAGTTGGTTCCCACATAGCCTCGAGGTCAATGCATCTTAATTCAGACTTTGTTAATTCAGTAGGAAAAAAAGTCATTTTATTGAAAATAGGAGAGCTTCATAAGATCAAGATAAGGTTCCAGTTGCGACGCTCGTTAGGTTCCACGTAAACTTCTTTCCACTTTTTCCATCTCGTTAACAAATATACTTCAATCCATCGGTTCACATCGTCTGCAGTCAAATCTCCCGTGAATTTCATAGCTGTAATGTTCTCCAGAAGCTCCTGTAGAACGTTGTTTAAGAGGATGAAAAACAAAAGACTAAGTAACCAAAGTAGTATTAGTATTCTAAATGAACTAAGAACTTACAGATTCAGAAGCGGATACCGCTATCCGCATTGTAATATTTTAGAAGTAATAGACTATTTATGTTACATAGCGGGAAGCGGAATCCGCTCTGCAAGATAGCAGAGCTATGGATATAGATTTACAGAGCGGGATCCGCTTTCCACACTGTATAACTTTGATCCCGTGACACCACCGATGACGCTAAAAATGAAAAAATTAGACTAGAAACAGCGGGGAGATTTTGATGGACGCAGCAGGGCACAGGGCATGATTGGATTGTAGAACTCTGACCGAATACATTAACCGACCACATCACGCGAGTGTTCCGATGGAAGTCCTTCCATAGTGTTCCCTCGACATCGCTCCACAGATGCATGTCGCTCTACATCTTGTATAGGTTTTTTGCTTGTTTCGTTTTTCATTGTATTCTTCATGTTACCGATACCATAACAGATACAGAATTTAGTTGACCGATACCATGACAGATGATGATTAACCAACTCATTCACCGACTATGAGAACATGCACCCACTTTCCCCCGCGATAGTCTGGCACCCGCTCACCCCAACGATATATTTCAAGATTGTGTCGGCTAGAGGTTTCACCCTCTAACCTTCAAAACAGCATGGCATTGTTGCGCGAATGTCCTCCATGTATCTTCTCATGATGGATCTTGTCATTATGTCATTGTTTTTACATGTCAATAAACCCATGCAGACTCACATAAGCTTTCAACATGCCTGCCCTCCTCATGCAGTAGTTTCTGGGTGTGTTCTATCAGTAGTACAACCATCGAAACATGAGACAAAATTGCAAGAAGTGGACTCTGTATTTACTGATACTAGTTGCAGGGAATTAAGGTGCGGCACAATCATCATGATGAATCTGTTCAGTGCTCAAGTGTATCAAGTATTTCACGCGCCATACAAAGTTCAAAATGCTTCGGTCTTGAAGAACCTAGTTGAAAATGGTCCAACAATACAATGAGCGAAAGAACGAATTCTAACACTTGTCTCCCCATGAAGCAGTTCAAGATGAATTCGGTGTAGTCTTTGTGTGGTCCCTGAAACCTTCCCTACACCCCAAAGCGAAGCATTGATGAGGTTACCTACAATGTTGTATACAAAGAAGATCACAACTCACCCGCCTCTAAGTCGTAGCTTTCCCCAAGGGTTCATTATATGTCCGGTCGATCATATCCCAGTATATGCCGCAACATCGAAACCAAGAAGGATGAACTGTACACGCTACGATATCAAGATGTCAAAAATTGCTCCTAGTATGTTGAACGACCTTCCTATCTGTTGCTGAACTATTCAGATTGAATATGTATATACTCCCCGCAGAAACATTTAGGTTATCGTTAAATTTCTCCCCGGTGTTCATGATTACTTTCATGATTTTTATCACTTCTCTATACAGATGGAGCTTCAAATATCAACATGATGAATCAGGGGTAGAATTGCCTAACTTACATGTTACTAACATATATGAGAGACATACCCCTTCTTTTCCCAAACAAAATTGCGTACCTCTGTTGTAAAGGCCGAGGATGCCGACGGGGGTGCTAACTACTCCTCTAGTTCACACCTATCATGATTAGGATCATAGAATCCTATTGAAAGAAACATTTACATGGCGCCTTTTAATGATGTATCTAAGTGTTTTACAAACGAACATAGATCATCGACGCGAAGATTTCCCCCTTACTTCGAGACAGAGGTAGAGCCTGTCTTAGATGACGTTGCCTTGCCACCATCATTACCACCCTGATCATTACCATCCTCCTCGTTGTCATCATCATCGTTCGATTCCTCATCCTCTGGCTCTGCTTGCAGCTCTTCTTCCTCATCATCCTCTTCGCCTTCCGAAGCGTGGAGGGCATTGTTGTTGTTACGTGCCAAGGCAAGGTAGTGCGCGAGTTGATTTTGCTGACCAACCTGATTTCCTCCACCTTGTCCATGAACTCTCTTAGCATCATCGATCTTGACAGCCAACTCGGTGAGGCGCTCCATGTACAGAAAGTGCCAAGAAGTACACATGCCGTTGTAGTGTTGCTCGGCCTGAGCGAAGTTACCTGTGTTGGGAGGGAAGTCAGTATATCTTTCGCGAACGTTGTGTAAGTTGAAGATCAATGCTAAAGAATCTGACGTGACTCGCATATCTAAAAAATCTAAATCATAAAAGAAGATATTTAATGAAGAGAGTAATTACCTGGCAGGGCCTGTTCGATCGCCATGATGGGAACCTTGTACAAGTGCTCGACCACTGCCTTGCGCAACTGGCGCAACAGACTCCACAAGGTCTTAGAGATCGAATCGCGCTCCTTGAGAGCCTCCAACTGCTCCATCTGGCGTGCCATATCCTCCTGATGTCCTGTAGAATCGTCCAAGTTGCCACGGACGATATCACGCAAACCGACGATGTAGGTGGAGACCTCCTTCAACCCCATTGCACCATCTGCACCAAAATTCTCGAAGTACTTAGATTCATCCATGAAGTTCTGCATGTCTTCGTTCTTCAACTGCTGCACCAAAGCGTTGACCTTAGCGTTGTAGACCAAGAGGTCGTTCTGATGGGCCTTGTCCATCGCAGCCGTCAGCTTGCGACGCAGACGCCCCTGCGGCATGGTCTTGTCAAGCTCCTTGGACACGTAACGATTCTGTAAGAGTGTTTTGAAGTTAGAATGTGATGATTTAGAAAATTTAGAATGAAGGAACAGTCACAGACGGTTTCAAATTTCCAGCACTCAGCTGCATTCCACTTCCTTACCAGCCTCCCACACTACTCCAAACACTTTACTATTCTTCGAACGTACTGCACTGAGAGAAATAACGTGTATCTCTATGCGACATCGAAATGAAGAAAGTCTGTACCTTCATAGTAACGCCATCGGGGATCTTCACCTTGAAGACGTGGTTCAAACCCAGGAGCAACGGGTGGCCCAACGTCAGATTCAGCCCGTTGCACACGATCTCCCACCATTCCTTGACCTCCGGTGCGATCTGTGATGAGACGTAGGATTATCATAGTAGGCAACACGTTCTGAGTTCAGTCTAGTCGTGAGTCGAATGATGTTGTTTGAGCCGATGAGTTGCTATCTTTGAAGCGATCACTTGTCTCACGTAGAATGCTTCAGTTTTCATACGTCAATAAGCAACACACGATAAGCAATGTTTAGTACGAGGCGGTATGGTTGTTCAGCGAACTCAACGCGGAAGGAGGACGAGGCCTCGAGGGATTTCTGAATCAGCTTCACAAGAAATTCCCAGCGGGAATCAGCAAGACATTGCATCGCCTCCCCGCGAGTCATGCCAGCCATATCAACAATCTGATTCGTGAAATCAACCACGATGTTGAGAAACTTATCCTCCGAAATTTTCAAAATGGCTCCCGAAATCATCTGGAAGGTTTTTGTTTGATGAGTTTATCACAGATGAATCAATATGGATATCACATGAGGACTCGGCGTTCATTTGATTCCTGAAGGAGTTCACAGATCATTTCATCATCTTCCTATCAATGAGTACGCAGATGCTTCCCTCCTCCCTCTGATTTCCTTCCAAGTTTAGAATATCATCAGAAGAATACCTGCACATACTGGAAGTCGTCAAAGTACTTCCGCAGAATCGAATTAGCCGGCTCTCCTTGCACGACTTGCTCCCGCAGGAGTTGCAGCGTATGGATTTGTCCAGTACGGACAAGATGCTCAGTGGCCATGTAGAACTCGTGGAGGATGCTCAGCGGCGCCAAGTCAGCCATATTGCATTCCAGCCTGGAGTGTTGAGTAGATTCATCATCTCGTTATCTTTCGTGAGTTGCAATTCCTAAGAAACTAGACCCATGTCTTTACTGTTCATGAAACGAAGGATCATGGTACTGAGCTTTAGCTAAGACGTAGTGATCTGCCATATGAAAAAGATCGCAACTTTAGAGACATGGACTACATTCATGACCTTCTTCTTCATACATGAGAGAGAAATTACCAATATTTAGAACAAAAGTACCACTGATAGAACGAGTATAAATCCATTGGCGCACCACGTTCGTTGCGGGCCACGACGACACCAGTGAACAGACATACAACGGCAGCCAGCTCGAGGATCAGAACGTTGGCGGCGTTGGCGGTCAATGCGGCTGTGCGGGAAATGCCTCTCATCATTCTGCCAGCGGCTGCGCGTGTAGTCTGTGCCAAAGCTCGATTCTGCAAGGCCGTCTGTGGTGTGGAGATGGTAGGGGGATGAATCGCAAAGAAGTATAGATGGTTGTAGATCTTAGATAAAGGAGTGTAGCGCCCGCTATGTAGAGCCAAGGCATACAGAGGTGCCTGGCTCTTATAGCAAACACAGACGCTTCCTGCATGAGGATCTCTTTTGCAGCAAGCAAGAACGAGCCCACACATCGAAAGACATGGGTCGTGACCTTACTGCAAGACTCAGTCCTTCAGAAAGTCCAATCTTGATCTATGTTATTGTTTCTAAAAACGTGAAACTTCTATGTTTTCAGTCGTGGAGAAGAAGATGAGTCCATCGTTTCACACAGAGAGAAATAACATGATCCTAGTACTACTGTCTGAACAATATACTACGATCTTTCTCGTAGATAGTGGACTTCTGCTACTGCTAACAGTGGATCTAAATGGCTAAATATCGGAAATCTATACGGTGAACCATCATCAAGAGTCAGGAGCTTCTTTAGATGTATCACTACAAGCACTAGTAAGAACCTATAAACGAAGTTTTTCAGTACCGAAATCAACTCATTCTCCTGAGTGGTGAACTGGTCCAGACCACCGTTCGAAGCCAATTCCTCAACCATGCGCCCACCACTCACAATGCTGCTCAACTCGCGGGCCTTGGTAGAGTATTCACGCATTTGCGCCTGGATCACTTGTTCGGGCGGCGAACGCATGCCAACCGGCGGAGGATGCAACACGCACTGCACCGCGCGGTTGCGGTTGCGCTGGCAACTGCGAAACACCTCGCGCAATGCGAACAACACCGAGGGAGTGGCCTGTGATGAGATGTTTAGATTGTGAAAATGATAATGAAGTAGATGGCGGAGTGAGTTGCTCAATATACTAGCGTATGAAAGTAAAGTAGAAGCTGCAAAATCTCGCTCTGAAGATGTATTCTACTCGACTTCAAGTTGTTTCTAAGATCATTCACAGCATCAAAAGGATTATACAAGTATTAGCTTAGTACCTCCAAGCGGACCATAGTCGCGATTTCCTTGGCCGCCTCATCAGAGGGATTGTTGCGGAGGCGGCGGCGAGCCGGAGCTCCCGCGTTTTGGTTCGGGTTGGCGCGTTGCATTTTGAGAAGAGTTGTTTGTTGAGATCGTTGACCCGATGGGTTGCTCGTTTTTTTCTTATCTTGCTTTGTAACGTACTAGTTAAAACTTTCCTCAGGAGGAGTGTCTTAATTTTCTCGTTACTAAGGTGGTGAGAGTGTTGGAGAGAAAGATGAGGATGTGATGGGCCTTCTGTGAAGGTTAGTAGAGTCTAGGTCTCAGAGCTGGTTTTAGATTTGAGTCTACCTACCTCTAGTTCGTCTACATAATTCACAGGCCTAGATGAAAGAAGAGGAAGAAATCAAGTGAAATCACTACTGAACGTTGCAAGAAAGAAAGAAAGTCCATGTGAACATGATGCCCAGCTTTACTGCCTCATACATATGAAAAAACATAGCTTCACTCAGAAAGAAACGTGGAACTCTGCTGGTTTTTGAAGTCTTTCTTTAGATCATTCAAGAGCAACAGAGAATGTTCATTTTTCTGAAGAAAAAGCGGCCTGCTGCTAGAATGAACACAAGATCATATCTTTGACACAGCCTCCGCTTCTGGAACCACTGCGGCAGCAGTAGCTTTCTCTCGTCTTCTTGCTTACATAGTTCAAAGAGTTCAGCATGAAGTGCTCGATCTGAAAGACAGCCTTTTCTTCTTGTACCTGTACAAACTGCCTCTTTCTGTCATTTCTGAGACCATGACTCTTATCAAATGAGGTCTGATGCTCCATGGACTTTCTAGATGATGCTTACTGTCCTCAGGTTTCTCTTGCTCACGTTCATATCTGAGACTCTTACACACCTTGCCTACTTTGCAAAGGAATATTTTCTAGAAAGTCACCTCATGACGAAAAAATTACACATTTTCTGGAAAAACTTCCGGAAAGAATCTTGATTTCGGAAATTATTAGATTTGAAAATATTCGGAAAAAAACTAGATTTTCGAAAATAGGGGGCGGATTATTGATTCATTAATGATTTTCCATTGGAAAATCACCACTTTGCCCCCGGTATTTTTGAATCTTTAGAAAACTTCGAAAATCGCGACATTTTTTCCGAATATTTTCTACCTTAATTCAAAACGAAAATCAGGCAGAAAAGATTCCGCCCTCAGTCCATGGCCCCCCTTACCACCCTCTTCGACCTCTACAAGCCAGGCGCGCAGCCCTGTGCCTCTGGACTCAGCTCAGCTTCTTACTTCAATCTGATACATTCGACCCGGATCTGCTCCAGGCTTACCCTAATTCCTATGCCCCATATATATGCATGTAGTTGCTGTTAGTTTACTTACTTCTGTGATACTACGATGTTGAAAAGATCGTAGTCCTACCCCATGTTTTCCCATAGCTTTTTACCAATAGAAACGCCTGCAGTGCGAAATACTAGTTCATTGTACAGTATCGGTATAAAGATTCCTGAAGTATTGATCTGTTTACTTACCAGTAAGATATCAAGCACATCTATCCAATAGAGAGAAATCTATACAAGGTCAGGCTTTTACTTAAACCATATAAGAAACGCATTTAGTTCATATGAGTGTGCATTTTGGTACTTACTTATGATAGAAAACGATCCCGACGAAGTCACACACTAGCTAGTCCCTTAAGTTTCCTACTCTGGATGATCAGGAAAGTCATCAAACTCAAACTCTTCTCTGCCAACTTCGAGTACTGCTAGGCTCTCATCGCACAGCCTCATCGCCCTCTGCATGCTCTTAGCATTCTCACCCTTAAGGTGTTTCCACGAATTTCTGCCATGGTGCACGCAATCCGCAATGTATTCTTCATATTCTTCAGCCAAACGAGCAGGATCTCGACATTTGTAGCGGGAATCGGCCAGAAACTTGCCAGCACGATCGCAAATGAATCTTGCCCGCAAAGCCCACAACGCACACAAGTACGAGACGTGCATCCACTCGTCCTCCGGGTAATTGAACTTGCGGTGCGCCGAAGATTTGGCAGTACTCATGATGTCAATAGAAGTGTCTCTGATGATTTGAAGAAACCGCAGGCGCCTAGTACTATCCACTGCTACTCTCAGCGTGTCCGTGAGGCGACCACGCATCTTGAAAGTAGTCTGAGAAGATGCATCTGCTATTTTCATGCCTTCGATCTGCACATTGCATAGCCACTCATTGATGATGCTCTTCGCTGTTTCCAGGTCCTGCACCTTGTCCTTGCCCAGTGTCATCGAACTGTACATGCCCTTCATGGATTTTCCTGGACTCTTGTTCCCAACTGCATTAATAAACGCTTCCTTTTGCATTTTCGCCTTCAGATCTACCTCCTCATCGATTGCTACTGCTTTGTCAATGATGTCCTTCTTGCTAGTAGACGACGACGCCTCCTCTACTACCTTTCGTCGCTTGTGTTTAACCTCCCCGGCAGGTCTGTCTTGTTCATGTTGTCGCTTGATAGCTAATCGCTTTCCTTCTCGTAGCATGCGAGACAAGAGAGAATTGTCACTGGTGTTTGTGCCTGAGATGGTTGTCGTAGTAGCTTTACCTTTTCGACTGTTTACTACTACTTCCGCCCCACGCTGCACCCGCAGCATCAGCTTCTTATCCACCACCTCGCCGTAAATCTTGGCCTTGTAAATCTTCACAGAACTGTTCATGAACTGCTCTTCCTTAAGAAGCGGCACGCTATGCACGATGTCCCGCGTGGCTACATATCGATCCTCCTGCAAAGGGTTTGGCTTTTCCACCCAAACACCACTAAAATCGCTGCACTTCAAGTCTATTCGCATAGTCAACATGCTGACTTTGGTCGTGTTATCAATGCAACTACTAGCAGAAGCTCCATCTACTGGCAAGTGAAAGACCAGGAGAAACACAGTCGGCGGCGCGTCAGCCGTCTCATCGTCTATGCGATCATCCTCTTCGTCAACTTCATCTACAGCTTCTTCCCGGTCTGCATCTGCCTCATCAACTCCCAGCTCCAAGCTGTCTGTAGATCGTTCACTGATTTTTTTTCGTGCTGCCCTGCATGCTGAGCACACCTGTCTTTCAATTCGATGCACCAGGCGTGGGCTCACACGAATCTCAGATGGATGGTACTTGATTTTCTGTAGCCATCTTCTGCACAGTCCCTCCAAGTTCTTCTCCGCTGCAGATTTGTAAAGCACGCTTTTCTCCAGATCAGTTTCTACTCTTTTCTTCAACCCGGTAAAGAATTCGTGCTCTTGCTTCGCGCACAACGGATCGCGCACAGGATCATGGTCTTCTTGATTGTCTTTTGTGTTGTCATGTGTACTAGAAGAAGCAGTAGTAGATCCAATCGCACTAGCTCCACCATCCAAACGCGCTAATGCTTCTTCCTGCAGAGCCTCTTCGACCAAGCCCATGTCTGCAAGAGTTACACTATTACAGCCTTTCTCAAGTACTGTTTTCTCCCCTTTCTTCCCCTTCTCCCCGAGCTTCAGCTTCCACAACTTAGATTTGAAGATGTCTATTGATCGCCTGTAGCAGTATCTCTTGCTGCGAGGTGGCTCCTTGATCATTTCTGCCTGCAGTGCATCCGCCTGCACACGATTCAACGAAGCATTAAAATCGCTGCGCATCTGGTAAGCTACTATATTTTTCATTGCGCGATGACCTACTCCCACCTTCGCCTTGCGTTTTACTCGCTGGACCTTCGTTTCTACACCTTTATTCCGTCTCTTCTCTTGGTGTATCATTTGCATGAACCTACGTAGCATTCGCTTACGAGTATTTACATCTGAAAACTGCTGGAGGTACTGTTGTAAGGATGCCAGACAGTAGTAGCCTGGGTCGCTGTCATGGATCTCTGAAGCGTCGAAGCTCATCAGAGATTCTAGATCTTCTTGTCCTGCAATATATCGCTCCATGAAGGCTTCGTGGATATCCTTATGCGTACCAAAACGCCAAGAAAATTGCACCTCTGCAGCACGGACAGCCAGTTCCGCCGAAACACAGAACATGTAGACCTATTATTGTTCATTTTCAGGTATTATTTCCCGGATGGATTGGAAACACAACTCAAGATCTTGAAGTTAGAACTTATGAGAATTTAGAACCTGTATAACAATATATAGTAGTAGTTTTAACATGATCATACTCACCGCTTGAAAGTATAAATACTGTAGCCTCCTGCTCTTCGGACAAGTTGACGTGGATCAACAGTTTCAATTCCTTCAATGTTGATTCGATGTCCTGCAGCCGCAGGAGCACGCCGTTTACGTCATTCTCCAAAGCAGTTCGCACTTCCGTCCGGTTTCTCGGTTGTTTCTTCAATTCCGTTTTCAAATAATGCTCCACTGGTTGCCCAATGATATACTCAAAATACCCAGAAACGTATAACAGGAAGGAGTCGTCTGATGGGTTCAGAGTTGTTTCAAATAATAGTTTAAGAAGAAGATCTCCTCTATTAAATAATATACGACTGGTTTCACCTTAAACAGATTTCTCTACTTGCAAGTAAATAAGCATATAAAGTCATCATTTTCATCTCATGACAAAGTGCCCACGTAATTGAGATTAACTAGAAGTTTTTCCTATCATAACTAGTACCTTTTTGCCTACTCGCGCCCTTGATGTTGTTCGTACAGGTCTCGTCTTTGAGTTTTACCTGATCGCCATACAATCGGCCGACCACTAAATGCACGTAGAAAAGCACACACAAGAGGAACTTGCCCATCTCCGTCACAAACGTGGTCCAACGAGACCACGAGGGCGCGCGAAAACCAGCAGTGAGACGATGGATCGACGTTCGCACTTTCTTCGCGTTCCCCGGTGTGCAAAAGATGAACGCTTCCTCTTCATCGATAGGCATATAGAGACTCTTCAGCACTTCCAGTGTGGCGTCTGGCACACGAAAAAGCCGCAAAAGCGCATCCAATTTTTCGGGTGGTCTTGCTCCTCTGACCTCTTCCAGGTAGTTGTTCATCCATGAAGACAGGCCAGTTGATATGTCCTGCCGCTTGATCGACATCGTCTTAATCTGATTGTAGGGGGAGATAAGTGATCAAGAATGTGCCAGCTAAAGAAGCATTGAAAGATGTATAAATTAAATATCCAACACAAGCGAATTTGCATAGATTTCCGTGATGATAATAACCTTAAGCAAGTAGAATCGTATCAGAGAACCATCCAAGATAGCATATCTATTACCGCCAAGTGAACGCGTTTCTCCCACACTCTGGGATTTATTCCGGTGCAGGCTAAGAGCAAGTCGTTGCACTCGCGCGCAATGATCGCCCCCTGATGGATTCTACATCGTCCTGTCCAAAAAATTCCGCGCTTCGCGTTGCGAATGGTTCCATCCACCCAGTGTTTCCCCATCCACAGCTGCGTATTTTGTGTAGACCCACCAGAATCCGAGTAGAACAAAAAGCAGAACAGCTTCTCCAGTGGTATTTTACTAAGCAGCTCATCGATATTAGTAACGGAGAAGATCACATCAGCAACATCAGCAGCTTCTGTCAGCTCGTTAGGTATCGGCACCTGCACCGCATGGTCCCCCGATATTCCTCTTCCAGCTCTGGCCGCCTCTTCATCTGCTGCTGCTTGGATTTCCTGTGCTTTTTTTGGAGCAAAAAGCACAGTTTCCGCTGGTAGTTGTACTAGTCCTCTTTCCTCTCCGCCAGCCGCTCTCCACGATACAGTATTCTCCACCACTATCCACTTACTGCCCCTCCAAACTTCGCGGCCGGCTTCTCCAACCTCTAAAACAGTTCTAGATGTTCCATCCCCCTCACTCCTATAAAGCAAATCAACCACACTATGCTTTTGAACAAGTTGCGCCAGCTGTTGATCTAGTTGTTCTTTCAGTATTAGAGTAGTTACATGCAGCCATCCGCGATCCGCTCCTTCAGCCTTCAATGCGTCACTGTCATCGAAATAACGCTCGAGGAATTGAGCTCGTTGTGAAACAGAGCCACGCTGCGATGTACTACTTGCAGCACTAGATGCTGCATTTCGGAGGACTATAGAAGCAGCGCTTTCGACCTTCTTCCCACGGTCTTGCTGCTTCTTCCTCCGAAGAACAGCCTCCAACAAGCTCATAGGCATCTTGATGTTCGTGTTTCTGAGTGTTAATCTGCTACAGATAAAACACACACTGTTTTATTCGAGTACCCACTTGATTAACTTATCATCAATCTTTATACTTTAGGAAAGGACATAACCTTTTTCAAAACGCTGTAAATTCCATGTTTTCAATTCTAAAAACAGCCGTTTTTTAGTCCTTTTTCAATCTTCGAATCTTCTTTCTTCATGTGCGGTCTTTCGAACTCTATCCTCGAAGCATTCATCGCGAAATCGAAACTCTCTCTCTGCCTTTTCAACCGACCAGAAATTCAATGTCTCTCATCGATACTCTCAACTTGAAAAACAATCGGTCATCAGAAAAGCAAGCCCATGGCGAATCCAATCTGCACGACAAGATGACGCTTTATTATCATCTCAGAAATTGATATAAACGAAGGTGTAGCAGTCGTAGTCTTTAAGTCCGTGTCTGTATCACAATCCTGGTACATATAAAGCCAATCTCCTGCATTTTTTCAGTGTTCGTCATCAGCTTCATATAGTGAATCGCCATCAGAATCAAACCGCAATAGCCCCTGCACATACTTCCAAGAGATGCATATTGGCCTACTGGTATACCGATGCCAGAACACATCTCTTACACAATGCCACACTACTTCTTGCGACGAGGATACGCAATTTATACTACACAAATACGAGCCAAGCAAGGATAGATTATAAATGAATAACCATAAGGTTATGCTTAATGCATGTTTTCCGTTTTTCTCTATACACTATCCTGGTAACACAATGGAACGACGAACAGGAATGAAAACGGAAACCATATAGAGATGATCGATTTCCCTATATGAAAGCCTTAACATCAAAACGCGCCAAACGCATTCCCCACCAGAATCGCTACTGCGATCCGCTAATGCAAACAAATCCGCAGCACACTCCCAAGTTTCCGGCTTCTTAAATGCACTACCTGGCACACAACTCAAACCTTCAATCAACAAAATCTCCCCGCCTGTTATATTCTAGAAAATGCACTTGGTTTTCTCATCGGTGGCCAGATGATCAAAATTAACTTTAGGAGGAGTAGAAACTATATATGTTACATAGCGGGAAGCGGAATCCGCTCTGCAAGATAGCAGAGCTATGGATATAGATTTACAGAGCGGGATCCGCTTTC